GATTGGCTATCCACTTCTCGGAGATTTTCGTGAATGATCTGCAATTTGTGTAACCGATAACTGTCTCCCCTCGACTATGAAGGTAACGATTTTACTTATTTTGTGAGTAGTACAATTTTATAAACAAAGTGCGTATAGATATAAATATAGCAATAATTAGTGAACTAGTTTTTGAGTGTTTTCACTTTTCTTCTTTCGCACGTGTTCCCTGATTTGCTATTTCCTTTTTAAGGTTTGTATTACTCACGCAAATACGTAAGTGCGCGCCCCAGTACTAAAACCCTAGCCATGGTGAAAAAAAAGTGACTGGTCACGTGATTTTTCAAAATCCAGCCAATTAGATAGCAAGATCAGGTGTAACGTAAAATTACGCTCTTTTTGTTTTTTTTAAAAAAAATCATTGATAACTCGAAAATTTACTTATAAAACTGCCTTCTGCGTACTAATAAAAAAAATTCCTCGCTGAATTTTGGTATAGAACATGCTATACTCTCATACTAATTCTAACCTTAACGATGAGGTTTATTACTTCGAATCGTGCACTTATTCGATTGTTTTGATTTTTGCTGATTGGCCAAAAATCACGTGACCAGTCACTTTTTTCGCCATGGCTAGGTGTGTACCCCAGTACCGATCGATGCATGCAGTCATGATCAAACCGAAACATGCATAATCGCCCCAACAAACAGACAATTAATAGCCCAATGCATATGACCAAATTAAGAGAATTAGCCAGGACGGCCCCCCAAAGTACAGTCACATGATGAATCTTCACCAATCAGGAAATGATAATATACGATTGTTGGAATATATAAGCAATTTACTATTGTTGAAGTTTAGAAACATATACTGTGTTCATCATGTGACTGTACTTTGGGGGGGGCCGCCCTGGCTAATTCAAATTAAGAATTGAGACGCCCAGGAGATAAGATAGGGTTTTGTGTTAGGGAAAAGAGAAAACAGATGTTGTTAGTAAAGTGGTAAGGTACAAAAATAGATAAACAAAAGAGAAACCTACCCTTTGGAATCTAAAAACAATCAACAGTAGGAAATAGTATAATATTTAAAATAGACTAATGTGTTAGTAAATTGTAAAATCAGCATCCAAATAACTGATAAATCCACAAATAAATAGTAAAAAAGCCAGAACGCTCACCCAAGTCCTTTAATCACGCCTTTTGTAATCTGCTGATTATAACACACTTTTATTAGAAATGTAGCAGAACCTGTTATGGCTTAAGCCATATAATATATATCTGTATTCAAAGTGTAGTTTAAATATATTTTCAAAGCAAAGAGGTATAGACTTCTAAGCAAAGAGATAAACTTTTAATTTGAATAGAAAACTTTATTTAAAAAAGATGTATATTTGAAAGATGATTGGTTAGATAGTTAAATAGGATCTTGAACATTTGAACTACTAAAAACTTAAGATTTTACATGTTATTATTACAATTTGAAGTATATAATCTACAAAATCTTAAGTAGAGTTTATTTGAACATTTGAATTACTAAAAGCTTTGTGTCATTTTACAATTTGGAAGTATATGACCTACAAAAGCTTAAGTATAAAGTATAAAATTAGACTTAGTTGGGTCATAGTGTATTAATAATCAAATTAATTCTAGAGATAAGAGTATAGAAGCAATCTCATTAAATTTTACATGTCTCTTTCAAATTTTGTTTCAAATATTGTTTAATGGTGATAATAAGCCATTTGTGAAAATACATAAAAATAGAAATTGAGGTTAAAAAGAGAGATCAGAAGTTATATTGCTTTGTCACTTTGATTAGTCCTAAGGGTTGATATAATGGTTTATTTCATGTTTCATTTACTAATGTCGAATTTTACACCGTAGCAATTCGTACAATGCCGATCTATTCCAAATATAATAATTTACAAGTGCAAATAGTGCAAATAAATATTAGATGCAGTATATGTATAGATGTTTCTTTCTCTCAAATATATGAAGTAGAAATAAGAATTAGTAACAGTTTATTTTGTAACAATCAACAAAATAATAATCTGAATATCTATTTAAAAAACAGTAATCGCGATAATATCATTGATTGAAAAAAAGTATAGATTTACCTTCTATTTAAAAAAATGAATCAAAGCATTGGCAAAATTTCTTTTCTGAAAGTTTACACCTCTAAAGAAAAAGATGGGATTGATGTCAATAATCTACAAAAAGAATTTGAAAATGAAACCAATAATTTACAAGAAGTATTTGAGAATGAAACCAATATATTATATGAGGATATGGATACAGATATGGATATGAATATAAATACAGAAATAAATGTGGATATAGACATTGATACAGATATGAATGGAGAAGGCATGACTGATAATGAAATCTTTAGTCTCAATATAGGTATTGGTTTATATAACTATAAATTATTTATATTTTATTTGATTTAAACTTTTGTTTATTATTAGATAATATTTTTTTTGACTAGAATCTAGCTACAAAGCATATTGAAAATCATAGGGTAGAGAATAGATTTGAAGTTATTAAACATTGGCTTCAAAGAAACAAGGATCAAATATAGTATAGATTACCTCTTTTAAATAACTATTTAACTTACTAATTTTATATAGTTATTTTATTATATTTATATTATAATTAATATTCTAATTAATATTAAAA